CTATGGCTATATGTGTATGACGGGTATAGAGTTGAGTAGCAAGGGAGACCTTGTGGCCTACAAGTCTAAAATACTTCCTGAAATAATTTATCTCCTCTTTACAGTAAGTAAAGTTTGCTGGCCCCTACTTTAGAACGTCACTGCATTAAGAGAATGATTATTTTTTTCTTTTTAAAATGATGGACACTCTGTTAATATCTGGGTGCAGGAGATTGTAGTTGGAAGTAATGTTTCGTTTGTTACACTTCTGCTCAAGTGCCCAGAGATCAATTTCTGGCTATCTTTAAGAATGTATAAAATGCAGTATGTTTCCAAAATATCTATTCTGGGGATTTTTTAAAAAAAGTATTAATATTCCTTTTATTGTAAGTGGAAATTAACTTGAGTTATTTTTATACCGCTATTTTAGCTGACTTAAATTCCTCTATTATAATGGTATGATGGCACGGATGTAGGTTTCACCCAGACCAAAACCAGGATGGTGAAAACTTCGCAGAAAAGCGCGTTGCTGCATCACCATTAAGTACCGGCAAAGCTAGAATTGCAAAAATAGGAATTCACCTTCCTGCTGTCTCTCCATTTAGTCCTTTATTATGGTGAGGTTTAAGTCTGTGTTCTTTGTCCTGCTGATTGTAGAAGGTACATTTATAGCAGGAGTTGGGTACGATGGTTGGATGAGAGCAGAGCTCTACTCAAAGACCCTTCCCCATGTTTGCATGAAGAAAGATCTACCCCACCACCCACCGTGTACCGCCTCCCACCTGCTGCCAGCCCTCGGCTTCAGTATTTGTGCTGTATTCTTAAAATTTATTCCGTTCTTGCCTTCCTCGTAGACCTGATGATGGTGATGAAAAGGATTGTTTTGCAAGATCACAGATCTGTTGGGGTCCATCACTGGATGTTTAGGAATTGTAGTTGCATGAGTAATACATTCTCAGTAGAGTTACAAGCATTCTGGGATCTGCCTGCAAGCTGATCAGTGTCGTTAGAGATACCAGAATAATTCAGGTCCACGATGTTTTTGAAAGAAAAAAAAAAAAAAGGCTATTTTTTAAATCTCTGCAGGAAATGCATAACTTACACACCTCTTAGGCTTATCTAAACCTCCAACTTGGGAGGAATTAAGGAATGTGTCATTTGGTATACTGCTTATTGTAGAATATCTAAGGAACCACAGCTCAGATTTAACCTAAAGAACTGCGGAGAGTTATGTATCTTTAAAAGCAAAATGTATATTTAATGCCAAACACGGTGCACCCGAAGCACTTAAAAAATGCAGATGAGCCCAGATTTTCATTTTTAGGAATTAGACTTCTACCTAGCTCACTCTTTATGCATTAAACATTTTCATAATGCAACCTGCCACGTACAACCTTTACCGTACCAGTGTAACTTAGCCTTTTCAGAGTGAGGTCTCCCATCACCAACATTAGGGCAAGGCTAAGGTGAGGGTGAGGCAAGAAAGAGGCACCTAGGTTGCAAAATTTAAGGAGGTGCTTGCTCACAGGTGCCAATTTGCAAGACCTTTTGGGGTTAGTGCCTTCTTAGATTTTGTTCCCTAATTGCTTCACTCTAGTCCTGGCCCCAATCGGGTCCCTTAAACTGTACTTTTTTTTATTTTTTTAATAGACAGAGTCTCACTCTGTTGCCCGGGCTGGAGTGCCGTGGCATCAGCCTAGCTCACAGCAACCTCAAACTCCTGGGCTCAGGCGATCCTCCTGCCTCAGCCTCCCGAGTAGCTGGGACTACAGGCATGCGCCACCATGCCCGGCTAAGTTTTTTCTATACGTTTTTAGTTGGCCAATTAAGTTCTTTCCATTTTTAATAGAGACAGGGTCTCGCTCTTTCGCAGGCTGGTTTTGTACTCCTGACCTTGAGTGATCCTCCGGCCGTGGCCTCCCAGAGTGCTAGGATTACAGGCATGAGCCACCGTGCCCAGCCCCACTTAATTGTACTTTTAAAAAGCACTTCGCTGGATCAGAGCCTCAGCTTACTGACTCTCTGCAGGTGGGGCCCAGGAATCTGCATTTCACCTCTTCCCTTGGTGAATCTCATGCAGGTTTCATTGGAGTTTTAGGACCCTGTGAGCTTGCTTGGCCAACCTAACACCTAACAGGCTAAAAGCTGCTCCATCAGCCTCAGGTTATGACCCACCTGGGATAGTAGCTTAAAAAAAAAAAAAACCTGCTTAATTAGCCAGTACACAGGGACAAATAGGCCAGCCGGACTGCACCAGCGCCAGCCATGGCTGTTGTATAACTGCTACCAGGTGTCACGCTAGAAGGCTTGGATATTAGAGCACTTGTAACCAAAGCTAAATGCAATTGATTATATAATTTTGAGCTGTTCCAATTTTTTAATTAAAAACTGTTTTATAGATTCATATTTAGCTACATGTTCATTGTAAAATAAGATTAGAAAATAGAGCCAAAAGAATAACATAGGAACTATCCAGAACCCCACCACCCAGAGATAACCATTGTTAATGTCTTAAGGTATTCTTTCGTCCTTTTTTTTTTTTTTCCCTATTGAGTTAAGGTTAATTCTACTGAAAATCCATCATGTGGCATTTACGGGCATTAGGGAGTATGTGTATAAAGGGAAATGTAGTTATGAGTAAGTCCGTGTTATGAACTTGATTCCCATTTGGGTTCTATCCAGTTATCTCGGCCGTCTATGTGTAGACCCTTTTAATCATTAATCCTGGTATTAAGAAATTCACATGGCCGTGCATACTTGTGGATTTCTTATCTCATGGCCCTCTATTGCAAGAATAGTAGAAATAGCGCCCCAACCTAGGAAAGTCACTCTCTGGCTCTCCCCTCGGGTCCCTTCTTTGTGACTCTCACTGAATGCCTTTGGGATCCCAGGGACTTGTTCCTTTGGGTAGGGTCTTACTCATTCAGCAGCTCTTACCGTGTGTCTGCCAGGGGTCAGACTCTGAGCCAGGAGTCAAAGGCTCAGTCAATCAGTAAGGTGTTTGTTCTTGCCCCTGAGAACATGTATCAGATGGAGGAGGCAGACCGAGATCTTGCATGACAGCACGCTCTAACGTGCTTCAGAAATAAGGAGAGAGACCAATGAACTTGGCTTCAGAGAGTTGGGAGTTCCTTAGAACAAAAGGTGACACCTAAACTGAGTCCGGAGAGACCCACCGTATGGCGTCTTCAGTCTCCAGCAGATACCATCCTCCTAAGGGTCCACTGATTTTGTGTGTGTGTGTGATGCCCTACTTTTCAGCCCGATCACACAGTTGCCCGTGATAATTAAATGGAACTTGCCAGATGGATGCTTTTGCAAGATGATGGCTTGTCTTCTTGCTCTATTTGTGAAAGCTGGCATCGGAGCCAAACTCTCAAGGATGCCCCTACCTTGAGATTGTTTTGGAGAGTTGCTCTTTTGTGTGGAGTAGCCAAATGGCCTTGCCCATCGGCAGGGCCAGGTTGAGTGACAGGCGGGTGTGTCATGCATGTGGTCACTCTGATCCCTGCCAACTCGTTTGCCTCCAAGGAGGTGAGGTGCTGAGAGGTAGTCCTACAAAGATGCCATTTATCAGTGTCCCCTTCCTTTGGGGACATAAACTTCCTAAGCTTCTGATCTGTCAGTCTGTCCTCACCACGTCTGTTTTCCCTGTCAGTTGCAACGTAATTGGTGTTTAATTCCCAGCGCATCCGGTTTAAACACACGCATTACCAGACTGTCTTAAAGACACAATTTTTAGATCATTGAAGAGAATATTTAGAGTGGCAAATACAGTTAACTTCATCTGTAGCAAACTTGATTAACCAAGGAGGATGAGCACTCTGATCAGAAAAGAATGATGGAATCAGTAATAATAATTAATAATAAATGCATTGTTTCATTTCTATGGCTCATTCTTAGCTCTTTGTGTGCTCCATCTCATTTAATTGTCTCAACATCCCTATGAGGTGGGTACTGGTATTATTCCCATTTTCCTCCCATTTCTGTTGAGCAAACAAATTTAGAGAGAGATTCAGACGCTTTCTCAAGGAAGTGTAAGAGCTGGTGCTCAGATCTGTCTGCTTCGCACATGGCCCTCTGTAGTCTGTGCTTAGACTTGTCATAGCTCATGGTGTCCTCCAAGCACAGGTGAGCATGTCACCATCCCTGCCATCAGCATGCTTACGGTTTAACTTACTCATTCTCCAAGGGTCCGAATCCTTCAGCTACATAGCCATTGGAACAACTGAACATAAGCCCATCTTGCTTCCACTTTAGAAATAATTCCAAGCATTTGAAATTCTTGAAGATCAGTCGATGATTGTGGTTACACAGGAATAAATGCCAAATGAGAGCATTCCCGCTGATCCAGTTTACTTTTTTTGATGGTTATATTCAGGTTCAGAAATAGGGATGAATAGAAATTCTTGGGCTGGGTTTTCTCCTCTTCTAATTTTCTGTTCACGTTTTGCATTCGAAACAAAGATTTGGAGTTCAAAGCCCATATTGTGTTTTACTCTCCTGTTTTCACTTCCTTCTAAATAGAGTGATTCAGATCTTTATCAGTACCACCCTCTGAAAGGAGAAAGTTTGTGAGCGAGAGAAAGAGAGGGGCTTTTCTTTTCCTGTACCAGCTCCTGATTTCCTCCGTGCCAGTTCCCACCGTGACCTAAAGTGCCTATGGCAGGTACAATAACTCGAAATCCCATTGGCGGGAATCCTTTAAGCAGGACTTTTCCCCTTTAGAGCAGCTGGGACTCCTAGACCCTTGACGAGAAGCACAAACCCTGCCAGGTGGCCCTGCAACCTCTACTTCAGCCACCATCCCTGGGATAGAAAGTTCTAGAAGACTTGTACATCGGCAGGGTGTGGCTGGTTCCTGCTGGGACTGGGTAGCTAGAACTGTATGAAAGCCTTTCTGGGGGGCAGAGGGGAACCCTGAGCTCGGGAAGGTTCTAAGGATTAGAGAGGGAGTGGAGGGCGTCTTGCTGAGGTCTTCCCAGCAGTCTGACTTATTGGCCATTTCTCTTTTCTTGCAGCAAAACCAGAAATCCTGACTTACGACAGGCTCGTGAATGGCATGCTACAGTGTGTGGCGGCAGGGTTTCCCGAGCCCACAATAGATTGGTATTTTTGTCCAGGAACCGAGCAGAGGTGAGATAACTATTTTGGGCACTGCTTAAAATGCAGAGAATAGAAGGACTGCCATTCAGTTGAATTTCAAATGTTTTCCAGATTTTTTTTTTTTCCTTTTTTGAAAAAGCTTTGTTTCGATTATTATTATTATTTTTTTTTTTCCTTAGCCATGTGGCTTTTTCAGAGGGGATAATTGCTATGTTTTTCGTGCTCGACGTTAATTTTGTTTGCTGCAAAATGATTACGGAATGACTTCTCTAGTTTGGTGGTTATCTTTCTGGATTTATCATGCAATTTCTAGCCTGCAGGTAGATAAAGCAATTTTGCAGGACAGGGTAATTAGATTTCCATTCGGCACACAGGAGGTAATGTGTGTGGGAAACGTGGTTGTAGTTATCACGAAAAAAATTACCTGGGAAGTTAATTGCCAAGTCACCAGAAAGTAATGATCGCGCAATTGCAACGTGCATATGGCATTTGTGAGCGACCTGTTTTCCGAAGGGTTTCTCCTCAATTAGGTGCCCAGCCCCTGAGCAGAGAACATGGGCATTGTGCTGCTTTCTCCCACTCTTTAAGTCTTAACTTGTCCTTTTGCATTACCTGAAGTTGAAAACGGGGTCAACAACGGGTGCTGTTTTTATCCATCAATTGCTATTTTATGCTCAGGCTTTAAAAGCCCAGTTTAACATCACAATCGGATCGTCCAGATGCCGGTGGAAATGTTATTTTTCATAGCATAGACCTCCCTTGTCACAGTCAGTCGAAGAGGTTACCTAGGATTGTTGTTTTCAGCTGGGTTGGAGCAGAATATTTTCTTCCGGGAAATAATAAGGAGAGTTCAAGACCCCAGGCAAGGATGCCCACAATAGAAGCAAGCCCAGTGGTGACACTCATCCGGGAAATATTTATAGATTTGACAGCAGTGTGCTGGGGCGCCGTTCTAATGAGCAGAACATACCTGAGCCTCTGCCCTTGTGAGTTTCTATTCCAGAATGTAGAGACAGACAAGGCACAGAATAAACATTTCACGTGGAGGTGTCAAGAAGGGAATAGGAAGTGGCTAGGTTTAGCATAGAGCGGTCAGGGTGTGGCCCCTGAAAAATAGGGCTCACGGTGGCAGTGGCTTTTGCCACCTGCAGTACAACTGGCCCTCCCTCCTTAGAACCTCCAGCTCTGGTCCTTGAAGTGTCTGGCTGTCCTCAGCCTTGTAGACAGTTCATGCTATGTTATTTCAGCCATTCACACACCCTTTCAAATTGTTTTTTTTTTTTTTTTTTTTTTTTTTTATGTATAATGATCTACTGTGTGGCTGGGCCTGGTGGCTCATGCCTGTAATCCTAGCACTCTAGGAGGTCGAGGCGGGAAGATCGCTCAAGGTCAAGAGTTCGAGACCAGCCTGAGCAAGAGTGAGACCCCCGTCTCTACTAAAAATAGGAAAGAAATTAATTGGCCAACTAAAAATGTATAGAAAATATTAGCTGGGCATGGTGTGCATGCCTGTAGTCCCAGCTACTCGGGAGGCTGAGGCAGGAGGATCGCTTGAGCCCAGGAGTTAGAGGTTGCTGTGAGCTAGGCTGACGCCATGCTACTCACTCTAGCCGGGGCAACAGAGTGAGACTCTGTCTCAAAAAAAAAAAAAAAGAATCTATTGTGTACTAGCATCTATGCCAGCCATTATATGGGATTCATTTCTAGTCCTTTCAGTAACCCCCCAGGAGGGGCGTCAACCATCATCCCATCTGAGTGTTTCCTGTAGCAACTGCATCGTGCAGAGTTTAAGCAACTTGTCAGGATCGGATCCAAACCCACATGTCAATCCCAAGCCTCATTTTTCTTCTTGTCCATAGTGCTTTTCTTGCCTGGCCACAAAAGTGCCCATTCCTCGTCAAACACTGACAGTCGCAAAAGGAAATTTTTTATTGATTTTTATCGATTATGAACATCTAGCTTTTTTTTTTTTTTTTTTTTGAGACAGAGTCTCACTCTGTTGCCCTGTCTAGAATGCTGTGGCGTCAGCCTAGCTCACAGCAACCCCCAACTCCTGGGCTCAAGCGATCCTCCTGCCTCAGCCTCCCGAGTAGAGTAGCTGGGACTACAGGCATGCACCACCATGCCCGGCTAATTTTTTTCTATATAATTTTAGTTGTCCAGCTAATTTCTTTCTATTTTTTAGTAGAGACGGGGGTCTCGCTGTTGCTCAGGCTGGTCTCGAACTCCTGACCTCGAGTGATCCTCCCGCCCTGGCCTCCCAGGGTGCTAGGATTACAGGCGTGAGCCCCCATGCCCGGCTGAACGTCTAGCTTTAAGTAGATGTTGTTGCATGTTTATTTCTTTTCCTAGAGTAAGTCTGGGTGGTGTTTTCTCCCCTAGGTGCTCTGCTCCTGTGCTGCCCGTGGATGTGCAGATACAGAACTCATCCGGGCCAGCCTTCGGGAAGCTCGTGGTTCAGAGTTCCATAGACTCGGGTGCATTCAGGCACAATGGCACGGTTGAATGTAAGGCCTCCAACGATGTGGGCAAAACTTCTGCCTATTTTAACTTTGCATTTAAAGGTAACAACAAAGGTATATTTCTTTTTAATCCAATTTAAGGGGATGTTTAGGCTCTGTCCACCACATATCAATCATGACTTTCAATCCATTCCAACATGCACCATGTCATTTCCGGTACTACATGCATCCCATCGTACTGTCACCGTACTGTCATCGAGTTTCATTTCGTACTAGTTTGCTAATAAAATGTATGCTTTCACCTGAGTCATGCAACCCACGCTACTTTTATATATTTTATATGTGTGCACACGTGTGTCTTCTATACATGTAATTAATTGTATGGTTACAGTTGTCTCCATTGAAAATGGGTAGAGAAAGCACATAGAGGAATGTATTTACCTTACACCCAAACAGAACGATTTAAAATTTAAATTCAGTTTAAAATTTCAGATATTTAAAATGAGTTATTTTCACACTTTGCCAGACAGTGTATCAGAAAGTTAACACTGTCTTTTATGAAATCACGTTAGCAAGTGGTTTCTTTAAAATGTTTAAAATTTGGTTCATGAGTGACTACCTCTGCTAACATAAGTTAAATGATCCTCGTGGATGGGTTGATGAATTGGTATAAAGTTAGAAGACAAAAGACACTGGGCACCTACGTTTTTAGGGCTCAGTTTTTGAGTTTTTTGTTTTTAGTTTTTTGTGTTTTTTTTGAGTTGGCAAAGACTAGTGCCAAATAGTGCTATATTTTTCTCAGTTTTTGAATAGTGAGTGAAAGAATCTTCCATTGTTCTACATCATTGATTTTTCAGACAGGGCAATGAAAAGAATACTTTAAAAATGTTTTTCTTGGTTGTAAAAGACAATCGTGCACAGTTGTAGAATTTGGAATTTACAGGACAGCGTAAAAAAGAAAATACAAACCATCCATAAAAGAAGCTCCTTTTTAAAGTTGTACAAGGCAGGGATTTGATTGAAGTACAAAATTCATTCAGATGTTACTTTTCATTGAAAAACAGCATACAATTACTCTTGTGCTACGGAAGTCTCAACTTCTGTTCCGCAGTACTCTGGTTTAAAGTCGTATTTCCAAAGAGTCATTTGAATAACAGGTACACTATAAGCAAGGTAAGGATAGGAGAGTCATAGCTTTGCATCTTGCCATGGGTTATAAGCTGGGAGGCGGTTCCATTTCGGGGTAAGTAGTTCTGGCGAAGACCCTATCCTTCTGATTGTTTGTGCTTCCCCATTTGTGTTTTATTTTAGAACAAATCCATCCCCACACCCTGTTCACTCCTTTGCTGATCGGTTTTGTAATCGTAGCTGGTATGATGTGCATCGTCGTGATGATTCTTACCTACAAATATTTGCAGGTAACCACTCACCTGTTCTCTCCCCTGAGTGCTATCATGACCAAGATGTTAATCATTAAAATATAATCTCTCTCTCTCTCTCTCTCCCATCCAGAAACCGATGTATGAAGTGCAGTGGAAGGTTGTCGAGGAGATCAATGGAAACAATTATGTTTACATAGACCCAACGCAACTTCCTTATGATCACAAATGGGAGTTTCCCAGAAATAGGCTGAGTTTTGGTCAGTACGAGACGGGGGCTTTCCGAGTAACCTCTCTGTGTGCACATAGATAGCATGACTTTAGGGAACCCCGATGGCTTCCTTTGTTTTGTTCCACCTGAAACAGTGAGCATTATCTGTGAAATTTTCCCCACCACCCCTGCTAGGTCGGGCATAGAAAACATAGGAAAATGCTTCTAGACAAATTTGTCTTTGATTTCCTTTTTTTTTGTGATTTTGAAATTAACACAAGGGGTCCTTCGGTCCCACCACCCCCGCCACCATTTAACCTCACTGTCTTCCTTTCTAAAGGGAAAACCTTGGGTGCAGGTGCCTTCGGGAAAGTTGTTGAGGCCACTGCTTACGGCTTGATTAAGTCAGACTCGGCCATGACTGTCGCCGTGAAGATGCTCAAACGTAAGTTCCTGCAAACTCCTGCGTTGCAAAGCATCCGTTTGCCAAATTCGATTTGTGCGTAAATGAGATGTTTCTAATTTTGTAGCAAGCGCCCATCTAACGGAACGAGAAGCCCTGATGTCTGAGCTCAAAGTCCTGAGTTACCTGGGTAATCACATGAACATTGTGAATCTTCTTGGAGCATGCACCATTGGAGGTAAACCCATGTGTGTATTGCCTTTTATCAGCTGCCAGGTTATCAAAGGGTGACGTTTTAATAAGATTTGGATAATGCTTGATTATAAACTGTTTGCAAGATTTTTACCCAGACTGTTCTCTCTTGCTAGATTTTTGTTTTTTTTATTGTTCTTAAGAATATAGATTTTAGGCTGGGAGTGTTGGCTGATGCCTGTAATCCTAGCACTTTGGGAGGCTGAGGCAAGGAGGATCGCTTGAGGCCAGCAGTTTGAGACCAGCCTGAGCAAGAGTGAGACCCCATCTCTACAAAAAATAGAAAAAATTAGCCGGGCATGGTGGAGCATGCCTGTAGTCCCAGCTACTTGGGAGGCTGAGGCAGGAGGATCGCTTGAGCCCAGAAGTTTGAGGTTGCAGTGAGCTTTGATAGTGCCACTGCCCGTTAGCCTGGGTAACAGAGGAAGATCCTGTCTCAAAAAAAAAAAAAATAGATTTTAGTTTTATCATCATGGGGTAGGACAACCTAGTTACTATCATGTATGTAAAATCAACAACCTTTACCTCTTGAATGTCTCATCTCAACTGGAAGGATTTTCCTACCTTGCAAGCTTTATATATTGCTGAATCAGATATAGTCACTAAAAGGGTAAATATTCATTTCCATACCATAATTTAAAATAGGTCTCTAAACCTATAAGTTCTCAAATATACACCAAACGAGGCAAACATTTTACTTCTTTTTTGTTTTTTGTTATTATTATTATTTTTAATTGAGACAGAGTCTCGCTTTGTTGCCCAGGCTAGAGTGAGTGCCTTGGCGTCAGCCTAGCTCACAGCAGCCTCGAAATCCTGGGCTCAAGCAATCCTCCTGCCTCAGCCTCCTGATTAGCTGGGACTACAGGCATGCGCCTCCATGCCCGGCTAATTTTTTCTATTTATATTAGTTGGCCAATTAATTTCTTTCTATTTATGGTAGAGACGGGAGTCTCGCTCTTGCTCAGGCTGGTTTCGAACTCCTGACCTTGAGCAATCCGCCTGCCTCGGCCTCCCAGAGTAACATTTCACTTCTGTAAAAATAAATTTCCTATCTGAAGCCTCAGTCGAGGTTCCCACGGAGGATGTCCGTGGTGTCTGCAGACAGCATTTTGGTCTGAAGGAACAAAGATGCATAAAAGGAACTCTTCCCGGTGATCTGGAGAGATCCGAGCTAAAGTTAACAGCTTTTTCTGTAAGGCCTTAAAACAACCCCATACATGTGGCTTCACTGCGTCGTGAATTGTTCATGAGAAAATTTCTGCCCCAAGTTAAATAGTTGCCTGTTGTTTTGGAACTGCAGCTTCAAGCACCTGCAACAGCAGAGAATTTTTCAGCTAGTGGCGCTGGGAATACAGGTCGTCTCGGGTTTCCACCCACTTTCTGGGCTGATCTCCTGCGAGGCTGCAGTGTGTGCCCTTCGTCATTGCCATAAGAACGTGGCAGAGAGCACACGCAGCCCTGCTGTAAACAGGAGGGAATCAAAGCAATGCACGCAGGAAGTTGGATGAGTGCAGAATTTTGGAAGCAGTGACTTGTGTCTGTGAAAGCAGCTGTCACGCCCAGCCCCATGCACTAATGTCACTTAGAAATTCAGGTAGAAAGAGGCGTGCTTGTTTTAGTTTTCTCCACGTCATGCTGCTTTTTTTTTTTTTTTTTGATAAGGGATGCTAACAGATAGGATGACATTGGACTAGGTAAGCTGGTGCATTGAAGCTGCACGTTCATGGCCATGAGCACCCTTGGGTGTTTTTGGGAGGAGGCAGCATGATCTATATGCCTCACCTCTTTCTCACCTTCTCTTCCGTGCTCACAGGGCCCACCTTGGTCATTACGGAATACTGTTGCTATGGTGATCTTTTGAATTTTTTGCGACGCAAACGTGATTCATTTATTTGCTCAAAGCAGGAAGAGCATGCAGAGGCAGCACTTTATAAGAACCTTCTACATTCAAAAGAGTCTTCCTGGTAAGACTGATTGACATAGACAGTCGGCAGGCAGCGTGTGGGGTCAGGGGGGTTTGCAATCAAGCCTGATTCTTTGGAAAACGCACCGAGGTACTCTGAGGCGTGACATCCCTTATTAAATCATTTAAATGTGATTAACAGTTTAGAAAGTTCAAATAGTGTTTTTAAAGAAAGATTCAGACTGTGTTCAACTTAGAGCTTTGCTGATGGATTTTTTTTAAAAATGCATCTTTAGGGTTGTGTTTTTTTTTTTTCTCAGCTTTAGTTCTGCACAACTGAATGAATTTTCTATCTGTTTGTCTTACGGCTCCGCTCTTGTGTGCATTTCCATTTCTGCTGGTGAGCTTGGTGGTATGTGCGTCTTTGCAGGGAGATGCTGTTTATAGGAAGATGCTGTCAAGTTGTCACAGTAATGTCCCTTCGAACTTTTAGCAGAGTGGCAGAGGGCTCCGAACGTGTCTCTCCACCAGCCTTCCTGCCACGTACCTCTGCACTCGTCTACGTCCCGTCCTCCCCCCTGCAAGCCCGTTTAATGCATCATGCTATAAAAAGACATAACTACTCCAGCTTATTTTTTAAAGCTCTGGACCTTATTCTCATCTCTTTTATGATCAATCCTGTTCTGAGTTTGAATGATGTATAGAGAGCTTCAGGTTCCTTTAGGGGGAATTTGATTTATAGCCAGGATAGAATTCTTCTCTGCTGTACCTGTTCTTTCTTGAGGATGATGTCACAGTCCCCCACTGAAGACGACTTCTTAGATGTACCTGGCCCAACAGACATCACTGTTGTCTCGCCCAGGCCCCTGTACTTTCTATCGCTGCCGTTGTGTTGTAGATTTCTCCTCTCCTGTTTTTTTTTGAGACAGAGTCTTACTCTGTTGCCCAGGCTAGAGTGCCGTGGCATCAGCCTAGCTCACAGCAACTTCAAACTCCTGGGCTCAAGCGATCCTCCTATCTCAGCCTCCCGAGTAGCTGGGACTACAGGCATGCACCACCATGCCCGGCTAATTTTTTCTATATATATTCGTTGGCCAATTAATTTCTTTCTATTTTATAATAGAGACGGGGTCTCGTTTTTGCTCAGGCTGGTTTCGAACTCCTGACCTCGAGCAATCCACCTGCCTCGGCTTCCCAGAGTGCTAGGATTACAGGCGTGAGCCACCACGCCTGGCCTCCTCTCCTGTTTTATTCACTCCATATCCCCTAAGTTTGGAGGTGGCAAGATTTTTGTCTCCTGAACTTATAATGCCAGGGTCGCCAAGCAAACCTCAGTAAATATTATTGATGGTCACTTATCTCTTAAAGCCATTTTCTGTACCTCCGGCTAAAGTTGAAAACCTCAGGTGAAGCTTTTTATCTTTTTTAATCCTGTAAACCTAAGTCAGGGCTCCTCAAACTTTTTAAAAAGGGGGGCCAGGTCACTGTCCCTCAGACCGTTGGAGAGTGGGGTGCACATTCCACACATGCGCACTGTGGGCCTGGGACCAGTCGGCTGCTAAGCAGGACAGGCAGCGGTGGCAAAAACACCCAGTGGACCAGATAAATGTCCTCGGTGGGGGCATGTGGCTGTAGTTTGAGGGTTGAAAGAGATAGTAAAATCCCGTGCAAACTACCTTTCGTTAGTTTCCCCAGAGCATATGCTCTTTGAGTGAAGAAATGAGCTACTTTGCCTTCTTTTTGAAACCTTGGCCCTAGACTTATTTTTTTTTAACTTTCTGAAATAATGGCCTAAACCGTTCAAATCCTGTGTGATGTTCTTTGTGCTTTGGGATCCCATATGGGATTGGAACCACCAGCACACTCTGAAGGAGATTGTTGTCATGGTGTTTCTATGCTAATCAGGAGCAGGAAGTCCTAGAAATCTTGAAGAGTCTCCAGCCAAATGTTGCAGATTCAAGAGGTCCAGATGGTTCAGAAAATCATCCAAATTATTGGTGTTTATCTGAACTAAACTTGTTTTTTTTTTTAAAAAAAAAACCTTCCTCCATCAGTCGCTATATGTTAACAATCTCTCTGTCTCCCCAAAACACATCTTGGAAGCACTTGTTCTTTGTCTTTTTTTTCATCTTGTCTCCTGGGGCTAATTTAGAGGAGAGTTTCAGGTAATGTGGGAAAACATTTTTTGGCTCTGTGTTTCCCATTAAATCCATTATGTAAAGAGATAGGACACTCCTAACCTGAATCTACCCTGTGATTGAACACAAGACAGACACCTAATTCCTGAGGATTGGACCCTAATATTGAATACTAAGAACTATCTTATAGAACGATATTTTCAAACTCTGCGTTCAAGCTTTGCATTACTTTCCTTGAATAAAATCAGCCCGTTAGGTCCCCTAGGGGGAGAAGAAAGCGAGTTTGACCTGTTAGTGGCCCCTGCACTCCCCATTCGACCCCGCCATGACTCGGGTGTTTCCTCTGTCCTAGCAATGACAGTACTAACGAGTACATGGACATGAAACCTGGAGTTTCTTACGTTGTCCCAACCAAGGCCGACAAAAGGAGATCTGCGAGAATAGGTGGGTACCTAATCAAGCAATAAAAACGACCTCACTTACAGAAGATGCATCCTACCATTGTCGGATGTGATGGCATTCCTGGCAGTGACCACTTCTCCTCTACAAGAGGGTCCTGTGGCAATGCCAGTGGTCCCCAGTGGTTAGGATTGCCAGTGGGTATTTGGGGTCAGAGCATGTGGTTTTTTTTTTTTATCTGAACATCTTACTCCAGATATGGGATTTTCGTATTAATCCACTATTCCTCTCCCGTAAGGATAATACTGTAACCCCACCCAGGATTGTTGAATATTATTAGCTATGGTGGTTCCACATCTACCTTCCCTCAGCCCTGGGGGAGGTGATTTGCCTGCCAGTTTGCAATATTTCATTCATTGCCAGCCTTGGGTGTCTTGTCATTCCACCACTTTTTCTTTCCTTTCTTTCCCTAACCTTTAAGGTTCTAACTGCTAAGCAAATCCCCCTCTTCCTGCCAGGCTCCTACATAGAGAAGGACATGACTCCTGCCATCATGGAGGACGACGAGCTGGCCCTGGACCTGGAAGACCTGCTGAGCTTTGCCTACCAGGTGGCCAAGGGCATGGCCTTCCTCGCCTCCAAGAACGTGAGTTGAGTGGGCGTCCCTCGTGGAACGGAGCACTCGAGAGCCGTCGTTAGAATGCAGAGTGTCCTTGCAAAGTGTGGCAATCGAAAGCACAGGAAAACATAGTTTCTTCGTGTTTCAGCTGCTGTCTCTTTGGAATTCCCATTCTAATTTATAAGCTTTAAAGTACAAGCCCGTCTGCATGAGCTTTCCATGAGTTTTTTCTTGTATGTAGTGGATTCGTTTAAAACTTTTGGCTTTTAGGAGATATATATATATATAGGCTATTCTCCTAGAACAGGGGTCCTCAAACTTTTTAAACAGGGGGGCCAGTTCACTGTCCCTCAGACCGTTGGAAGGCCGGACTATAGTTTAAAAAAAAAAAAACCGTGGCCGGGCATGGTGGCTCATGCCTGTAATCCTAGCACTTTGGGAGGCCGAGGCAGGCGGATTGCTCGAGGTCAGGAGTTCGAAACCAGCCTGAGCAAGAGCAAGACTCCGTCTCAAAAATAGAAAGAAATTAATTGGCCAACTAAAAATATATATACAAAAAATTAGCCGGGCATGGTGGCTCATGCCTGTAGTCCCAACTACTCGGGAGGCTGAGGCAGGAGGATTGCTGAGCCCAGGAGATTGAGGTTGCTGTGAGGTAGGCTGACGCCACGGCACTCACTCTAGCCTGGGCAACAAAGTGAGACTCTGTCTCAAAAAAAAACCAAAAAAAAAAAAAAACTGTGAACAAATTCCTATCCACACTGCACATATCTTATTTTGAAGTAAGAAAACAAATGGGCAAAAACACCCACATGTGGCCAACAGGCCGTAGTTTGAGGACCCCTGTCCTAGAAGGTAGTGGAGAATTGTGTTTTTCAGCAAATGCTGGGGGTATCTCATAGGTACCATGCTTGATGAAGCTTATACTTGAGTTTTATTGAAGTTAGACCCCAAATATTGTATGCATGGCTTATGAAGTAACAGGATGGGAAGAGAATAGTGGAACCAAAGCAAGAAAGAACATGGTCTGTGGAAGGGTGAGAGGAATCCGAATAGAATCAGGTTTTAGATCCTACCCTTAAACATCATTGGTGACATTTCCAAACAATTACCAAACTAAAAGAGGATACAGGGCGGCTGAAATAAAGACCCTCTTCCTCGCATCTTTGGGAGATGTCAAATTGAAGTCCCAAAGATATTTTAGGAGCTCTATGAAAGGATACTCAAAAGAGATGCATGCAAAATGAATTTTCAGTTTTAAAAATACAACACAACCGTTTCTAATGTATTTTCCCATGGATGAAAGCAGTCCTGACAAGAAAAAAAAAAGCATTTATTAGAATTGGTTTTGAAAGCGATTATCGTAATTATGGTCCTGATTATGTGAAACATAAAGTGGGAACATCATTCAAGGCATAATTTTGATTTTGATTTTTGGGCATGGCGAATACTTTAATGTAAAACAAAAGTATTGGATTTTGATAATATAAGCAGCGCTCTAGTATTGAAAAGTAGTTTTCAGTCTTGAAACGTTAAAAGTGAATTTAAATGGTTTTTCTTTTCTCCCCCAACCTGACAGTGTATTCACAGAGATTTGGCAGCCAGAAATATTCTCCTTACCCATGGTCGGATCACAAAGATTTGCGATTTTGGTCTAGCCAGAGACATCAAGAATGATTCGAATTATGTGGTTAAAGGAAACGTGAGTACCTATTCTCTGCTTTGATGATCCTGCGAAGGATTTTTAGTTTATTTATTTATTTTTTAAGAGAATGTTTCCTTTCTGTCACCCAATCTGGAAAACACCCATCATAGCTCACTGCAACCTCGAACTGAAGGACTTTTAGTTTCAAGTTTTGATAAAAATTGCCCCCTATGATTTTCATAATGCAAATCTTATCTTGAGATATCGTACATTTTAGCAGTCCAATTAAGTGTACTTCAGCAAAATGTGCATGGCACGCTGAACATTACTACAAGTAACATTCAATAATAGAATTCCTAATTCTAATTGTGTAATTATGGGGCATGTGAAGGAAACAGAAATAGCCTGAATTTCCATGATAGCCCGAGAATAGCAATGCACTAGATTTTGCTCAAGTATAAGAAATGTAGACCTGAAGGTCACAGCAGGAGAAATTTTTTAAGATTGACAAGCTGTAGGAGAAAGACTAAAATTGAAGATCATGTTTCACATTAGCTGTGTAGAATGTTGGACTCGTGATCATTGGAGAGCTGTTAAATAGGTTGATAAATAAAAGTAATAATTGGTTTATAGAACATAGTAATACTTTTTTTTCAGAGTGCTTTTGTTTTATCGCCAATGTTTGGTGTAGCCTCAGAACAAACACATGCTCTAGAAGATAATGTCTTCTTATTTTAAAAATTGGAGGAACTAAGGTGCAGTCTAGTCTAGTGATCTTGATCAGAAGTGACACGGGTCAGCAGAGGCTGAAACTAGAGCCCATGATTTCCAGAACAGCATTCCACTGGTATGGAAAATCACATCCTCCTGTATATTCTTCCCTGCCTGCTTTCCTGCGTCCATTTCCACGGTCCAGATTTATTCCTGGAGGTAGATTTTTGTGTCCCTTATGATAATATAATATCTTCTCCTTCATCACCATGGCATCTGGAGGGGTAGGCTGTACTCCACTTGGTTTTGTAGATGTGTCACTGGGCTTAGCTCCTGACCAAAGCATGCATTTCTAGAAAGCCTCCCCTGAGGCTAGATAGCATCATCAAGAGTGTTGATAAAAACAACCTCTCTCCATCCTGGTGCAATTTTAGAAGGAAGAATGGCAAGTGGTTTATTATCCAGGTCTCTAAATATTGACAAAAAGGCAAGAGGAAGAAGGTAGCAGGCTCTAAACCCTGTCTTGAGGAGTTCTAATTGTTTAGATTATTTAGCAGCCGTGTAATATTGTCAAGAATTATCCAACACCTGAGTCTTGGTGTTGGATAATTCTCTCCACTTCGGAATAATAGTTGACACCCGCCTCAGAAAAGTCATTGTGAGAATTAAATGAGTTCAATGTGCAAAGTGCTTAGACTATGCCAGGCACGTTCTTACTATTCTTTATAGGTCTTTTATTTGAAATCGAAATAATGGTGACATTGGTAATGCCACAGCTTCTTACGAGCTTGTTATTGGTTTGTGACCTTAGTTGGAATTGACAAGAGAGGTTGGGTCCCCACCGGGCTTCCAAATCATAGACTTCAGCTCAAGTCGGTCGAACTAACCTTAAATCAGACATCATTCTCACCAGGGAAGTAGTGGGTAAGAAGAATTTATGGGACAAGTTAAAAACAAGGAAACTCACAAGTTACAGCCTCAAATTTATACTGTAGTCATTTGAGAACTCTGCGTGGGTCAGGTGTTTTCTGAAAGTTCTTGCATTTCATGTGTGTGTGGAACCCTTGTTAGAATACTGTTTTCAGTGCCTAAAATAAAATACATAGAATCAGTAAGAAAAGCAGTTAAATTGAAGTAGGTATCAAACTATTAAGTAAATTTGTGATAGGTTGGCACATGTATTTACGACACAGAGTAACAGGCTATGGCTCTAAAAACGACTGTATTTTCAAAGTGGTGATGCATGGAAATATTGAGATCCTAGTAAACACTGTCATAGGGTGTGACAATACCTGTGATTACTGTTGGTGACAGAGTTACAGGTACTGCTGATTCTACTGTGGATTGTTACTGCCTTCATTTGTAATTGAAGGAAATGCTAGACTTCATTTAACAGTTAGTGAAACTAAGGATGTGATTTTTTTTTTTCCCTCTGAGATTCACAGGCCTCTGAATGCAGGATTCCGTTAGGTCACAGGTGAAGAGACCCGACAGCAGGTTTAGGGAAAGGATATTGGAAGCCTTTTGAAAAAAAAAAAAAAGACTAAAATAACTTTAAGACCAGAAAAAAACTGTCTTCCCAGTTTTCAATCCTAAATGGATTAAGAGGAGGATTGATTTAGCTTTTTATGGTAGATTATAAGATCCGGGGATCCAGAATAAATCCAAGAGGAATAGTCACAGAAAGTTTAGTTCAATCTCAGTGGAAAGAGTTCAGGACATGCAGTTCAGCTGTTGAATACTTGCTCGGAACCTGCCACTGCACCCCTCAGAACAGTCCCAATCTTGATGAGCCACTATTATTGATCGAGCACTTGCTTTTATGCTAGGGGATTCTTCAGATACTTAATGAGTCCGGCAGTGCTGAGCATTTTAACCCATATTACCTCATTTAACCCCTAGAACATGAAATTAAGAGTGTTGATTTTCTTTTATAGGAGAAGCTATGGAGCCTTAATGACAAAATATTTAAGTAACTTTCGCAATATATAAGTGAAGGAGGAGTTTTGGTTGCATATGACAGAAAACGCAAAATAAAAGTGTAAAAGAAGTCTGGGGGTGGCAGGCCAGGGTTGGTACAGAGGTTCCGTGAAATGCTCAGGACCAATTCTTTCTTGGATCATCTTCATGGTCCGAGATGACCAACACGAGGACAGCCAGCCGTCCCATCCAGGAGGCAGGAGGCAAAGACACTAGAGGAAACAGGGCAGGGGGCATGTATGTGCCAGCTATATTTTGAGGACATTTTCCTGAAGCTGCTATACAGTGCCTACGACTCCGACTCGGTGGTCAGGGCTGGGTCACATGACTACAGCTAGCTGCAAGGGAGGCTGGGAAATGTAGTCCCGAATGTGGGAGGCCATGTTTCTGTTATTAAGGAACAAGAAGGAGGAAACATGCGCAATGGCATGTGACAAATCTCTGCATCCCTCAGGGCCAGTGGCGGAGCCGGGATTCAAATCCGTGTCTGGCTGTCTCTGACGTCTTAATAACCAGGCTACACTGACTCAATGTCCACATCTTTAAAATGGGAATAATGCAGTTGTGACCTGCAGACGTCAGAGGTGGTTGGGATCCTCTGAGATCCTGTAGGTAACAGGCCTTTGTGAGTTGCTATTCAAGCTGTCACCCCACCTTCCAGCGGGAGTAACATCTGGAAGAATCTTTAATGCTCGGGGTTTTTTTTTTTTTGTAGCTTCTTAGCTAACGTTTTGGAATCTGTTCTGCTTCCATCGCAGGCTCGACTGCCGGTGAAGTGGATGGCGCCCGAGAGTATTTTCAACTGCGTGTACACATTTGAAAGCGACGTCTGGTCCTACGGGATTTTTCTGTGGGAGCTGTTTTCTTTAGGTAAACTGATCCTGGCCAAAGACACACCTTTGTTAAGAGTCTGAGCGTCTTCTTGAGGTTTTGTGGGTGTCCTGCTTGGCTGTGATTAACGCTCAGTTTGCAACCTGTTTGTGCCGCAGGAAGCAGCCCCTACCCTGGGATGCCCGTGGACTCTAAGTTCTACAAGATGATCAAGGAAGGCTTCCGAATGCTCAGCCCCGAGCACGCACCTGCCGAAATGTAAGAGCCCCAGAAGTTTCTCCTCCAGACCACGTTTCCCCTTTTTATTTTTTAAAGACAGAAGCCCAGATGTTGAGGGTTTTCAACCAGCCCAGTTTGCAATCGTCATTTGGTTCCTTTTTATTTCTGTCGTTTATTTTCATAATCTCCTGTCACCAAAAACAAAGTTGCAGCAACACTTCGTACCATGCAGTGGTTTTATTTTATGCATGCACATTTCATGCCATGCGCCCAGTTGCACAGCTCTGGAATTAGTTTGCAAGTTGTTGCAGGGCATGCATCTGAAGGCATTGAGGAGGAGGGACAGTAAGTGGCCCTCGTTTTGCAGGTATGACATAATGAAGACTTGCTGGGATGCTGATCCTCTAAAAAGGCCAACATTCAAGCAGATCGTTCAGCTCATTGAGAAGCAGATTTCGGATAGCACCAATCACGTGAGTACACTCTGGCCAGGCATAGAATCGCCTTTCTGTCTGTTCCTCCTTTGCAGGTTTTTTTTGGGGGTGACAACTAACCTCCCCACCCCTTCTCCCCTGGGCTTAGGTTGTCAATTCAGCTTCAGGTTGGGGGGAAGTAAAGCAATGGGAACCAGTTCTTTCTGCCCAACCCCCACCCTGTTCTGAGCCAAAGAGGGATGTGAGAAGAGGAGGGGGAAGGGCTGGGGAGGGCTGTACACTCAGAAGTGTGGAAGTAGAAGTTTCCATAAGGATTTGCCGTGTTTCCTTCCCACCCCAAATGCTGGTCATGGGGTTGGCGTGTTCTCACTCTCACATGGCCGGGGCCGTTCATGCTCCGGAGGGTTGGGGTGATCAGAACTAGAAGAAAAGCATCGAAAAGACAGCTTGTTCCTGCGCTGAAATAAACCTTCTGATCAAACAAGCATAGCCGGGAGAGGCAGATAGCTGTCAGGCCCGGAGCCGCACAGAATGAGGAGTCGTTTGAAGTTGGAAGATCCCTCCCTGTGATTTGGGCATGGGGGAAGGAAAACTCAAATCCATTATTTCCTCTCCTGCTTTTAAGCAAGAATTAGTGATCCCTACTTTGACTCAGATTTTTTTTTAAGCTGCTTTTTTTTTTTTCTGGGCTGTGTGCTTGGTGCTATCTCTTCCAATAGCACACACTACTGATATTTGTGGGTTCAAGCTTGTTTTCCTGGGTGTCAAAGCCTATTTCAACTTAAAACAGTATTTTCCACCCAGTTGCTTTGATTCTTGACAAGAGACCCCTGGAAGGGCCATGGGTTTCTCAGCAAATGACGTGGGGCTGTTGGGTTGTTGTAGTTGGCTCTAGAGATTTATAACCCCCCTGTAGTGGGTTAGATCATGTTCATTCCCATTAGATGGGTCCCAGCAGAAAAGCCGGGTGTGCACATGTTTTGCCAGCACTTCTTGCGTAAAGTGATTTCCTTTGGAAAAAATGGGGGGTTGTTTTTGTTTTGTCAATACGACTTAGGTTTGGGAAACTGAGTTCTTATAAAACACCTCTCTTTTAAGAGTCTTCCTCAATTATTTGTGACTTTTTTTTTTTTTTTTTTTTGAGACACAGTCTCACTCTGTTGTCCAGACTAGAGTGCCATGGTGTCAGCCTAACTCACAGCAACCTCCAACTCCTGGGCTCAAGCCATCCTCCTGCCTCAGCCTCCCAAGTAGCTGGAACTACAGGCATGCGCCACCATGCCCGGCTCATTTTTTCTATATATGTTTAGTTGGCCAATTCATTTCTTTCTATTTTTAGTAGAGACGGGGGTCTCGCTCTTGCTCAGGCTGGTTTCGAACTCCTGGCCTCGAGCGATCCTCCCGCCTCGGCCTCCCAGAGTGCTAGGGTTACAGGTGTGAGCCGCCGCGCCCGGCCTATTTGTGATTTTGATGCTGGCAGTGTGCCCTTTTGTTGTTGTATTCATTGCAGGGACTGGGCTATTGACTGTGGGCTTCTTTTTCTCAGATTTACTCCAATTTAGCAAACTGCAGCCCCAAGCCCGAGAGCCGCGTGGTGGACCATTCTGTGAGGATCAATTCTGTGGGCAGCACGGCTTCCTCCTCCCAGCCCCTGCTGGTCCAGGAAGACGTCTGATCGGAACGAGTCTGCGGGGGTCTCCCACGCAGGGGTGATCCCCCATTCTTTCGGCTTCCACGATGGTTCTTTTGTTTTCCCTCGACTTGCACCCTGCTCCAGGGGAGTGGGCAGCCCACTGTAAATCCTGTCTTTCTAAGCACACTTTAGTGGCCGCGATGGCTTTTGTCGTCAGCCACCATCCCCTTGCAAAGGTTCGAACTGTATATATATTCCCAATGGCAAAGTAGCTCCTATGGGAAACAGAAAAAAAAAATTCTGATTTGGAAAAAAAAAAGAGAGAGGGAGGGATGGGCTAGATGCCCAGATGTCTTTCCAAGGGTTTTCCACTTTCTGTTGGAAGAGTCCGGTTGATAGTTGATATGAGTAAGTGGTAGCAGTCACACCTGGCCTTGAGAATTAGCCAAGATGATAGGGTAAGATTAGAAGCTAAAACCTAAACCGTTTATATGGAAAGACAGAACATGATTCGAACACAGGACAGACGTGTGAGGATCTGGACTTAAGGAATCTGGTGTTTCATCCTCGGATTGAGACATAGGGCATGAACAATTATTCCCTAAGCATGGGTAAAGGTAGCTGCTGTAGACCACTGTATGAGTTTTCATACCGCTCCCCTGGCTTTTGACTAGAGTTTGCTCTTAGGGAGTTGGAGAGAAGGCCTCCCCCGCCAGCGTTTGTATATACACTCATCTATCCATTGCCCACGTTCATACATTCGAGGGGCGAAACCCCACGAGGTTTCGTTTCTGTGTGCGACCCTAGTGTCGTGTCCACCGTGTGTAGGAATAGATTAGGAGCCATATACGTTTGAAGGAAACAGATAATACTTTTTTTTTTTTTTTAAGTAAAAGAAACGTAACAGCCAAGCACAGTCTTAACAAAATCTCCTCTTTTAGCCGATGAACTTGCTCTATAGATTCTCCAGAAAACGAGCCTACCAGCTTTGGAATGGCATTGCACTTGATGGATTTGATGCCGTTTGAGAAAGTTCCTGATTTACTGCGTGACCCCCACCCCCCCTGGGGGTGAGAAGATAGTGCTGTCTTGGCTCGGATTCTTATGTAGCAGGAGATAAAATGTAGATTCAGCCTTCCTCACAGGCATGTCCTGGACACCAGGCCAGTATCTATAGAAGTGCGTGTGTGTGTGTGTGTGTGTGTGTGGTGTGTGTGTGTGTGTGTGTATGTGTGTGTGTGTGTGTGTAGACAAATATTTTAGAGGGGTATTCTTGCCCCAAGTCCAAGAGGGTCCTTCGGTACCCAAGAAGTCACTTGGCTTTCATTATCCCTACTGCTCTTGTTTGCCTTCACACAGCTTTCTAGAAGCTTCCATAAAAGCGCATACGAAGCAGAAGGCTTCAGTACCTATTTGCAGCCCACCTGCACTTAAGACACTCTGTTATTTAGACTCAGCATACTGTACCCATTCCTTAGATCTTATATAACGCTACTGTCCCACTGAGACATACTTACATTTTACCCTTTAGACTGTAGCCTAGATATTATTATTCCTGTAGTCTACCTGTTTTTCCCCCCTCCTCCCTGCCCAGTATAAAAGGTAAATAATGTATACATGGCAAGATTTGTGTGTTGTCTTGCAAGATTCAGGTATGTTGCCTTCACGGTTTCCCCCTCCTAGGTCCCTTAGACTACATTTAGACAACTGTGGCCATTATCTGGAAGTTTCCATTTGCACTGAAGTTCTACGCAATCGCACCTTTTCCAAAGTTAACCGGTTTTGGGGTTGTGTTGTCCCCTACGAAATTGTTGCTGTTTTGCCATACTTTGTCTGTAAAATTCCTTTTGCGTTTCTATTGACTTTGATTATTAGTAAAAGTGGTTGTTTCTTGTAGATGTCTAGGTACTTCAGGGGCACTTCATTGAGAGTTTTGTCTTGGATATTCTTGAAAGTTTATATTTTTATAATTTTTTCTTACATCGGATGTTTCTTTGCAGTGGCTTAATGTTTGAAATTATTTTGTGGCTTTTTTTGTAAATATTGAAATGTAGCAATAATGTCTTTTGAATATTCCCAAGCCCATGAGTCCTCGGAAATATTTTTTATATATACAGTAACTTTATGTGTAAATATGTAAGCGGTGTAAGTTTAAAGGATGTTGATGTTTCACGTGTTTTATTCCTGATATGTTGTCCAAATTGTTGACAGTTCTGAAGAATTCTAATAAAAATGTAAATGTATAAATCAAATGGGTTTTTTGATTATTTCAAGCTGAGAAAAATTAAACTTTAAAGTATTAAAGTGTATTCACCTTAACATCAGAAAGTTTTGTACCCAATTTTCATAAAATACATGCAGGGCTACCCAATCACAGTAGGATTTATAGACTTGAGGATTCCACCAACATTTATTAAGAACTTTCATATGTGCTATATTTTCTCATTTCATTCTTAAAAACCGAGGGTCTCTATTTAAATTGAAAAATAGGTGTAGAAGACATCTTGGAAATTTTACACACAGCCATGATTCTTATTAGGTTGATTCATGTGACCATTTTTGTTGGCAAAATCATGGTCAAATAACAGCAATTTTATGGTCTAATCTAATACAACTGGCATAATCTCATTCTTCCTAAATGAGATTATCTAAAAATTCATATGAAAAAAGCGATTGGCAAAGCTGACATCAGGAATCCCAAGAAAGTGGTTGGAAGAGGTTGGCTTGGGTTTTGAAAGAGGTATTTCAAAGTGAGATATTCATGCTCCACCTCAACCCTTATTTCTACTTGCTTCTTGAACAGAGCTCAGTTTTCATCAGTTGATTGGAGGAAGGTGCTTTCTGCCTCTTAGTTGGGTACTGTCACGGGGGTGAGGCATTCCGCATGACCAAGCAGCACTGTCCAGACCCCTGGAAGCTATAGAGGCTGAGGGTTCTCAAAACCTGAAACACAGAAACCCCCCCCTGAACCATGTAATTACATAAAGAATGAGTTAGGGCCAGGTGCGGAGGCTCACACCTGTCTATAATCCCAGTACTCTTGGAGGCCGAGGTGGGAGTATAGATCGAGGTCAGGAGTTCGAGACCAGCCTGAGCCAGAGTAAGACCCCCCCCATCTCTACTAAAAATAGAAATAAATTAATTGGCCAACTAAAAATATATAGAAAAAAATTAGCCGGGCATGGTGGCGATGCCTGTAGTCCCAGCTACTCGGGAGGCTGAGGCAGGAGGATCGCCTGAGCCCAGGAGTTTTGAGGTTACTGTGAGCTAGGCTGACGCCACGGCACTCTAGCCCGGGCAACTCTTTCTTCTCCTCAAAGAAAACAGAAGTGAACAGTGACCTGTAGTGAAAAAGAATTCTTTTAAAGCCAGGAGGACATTGTGTGGCCAGGAATGTGTCAATAATCAGTGACAAACAGACCCACACCTCACTCAGTAGGTTGCCATTATTCTATTACGAGACAGCAATGAACACTAATGGATCACAAAACAAGTCTTTTTTTCTCAGATGTTTTCGCTGTCATTCAGCCTTTTTTTTTTTTGGTGTGTAAAATTTCGAGTTAGAAGCAATCACCTGTGTCACTAATTAATTGACACCCTGTGTCGCGAGTCTAAGCTCGTTTCTCCCAGAGCCCAGCTTTGCATAGCAAAGTGGTATCAGGTGCTTGGTGTCCAGGCTCGGACTTGGTTCGAATCCCAGTGCCGGCCCTGACTCTACCACTTGTGTTGTGTGGCCCTGGGCGGGTTAGCTCCTGAAATCTCAGTACCATAGTAGTGTCTGCCACATGTGTCACTAGGAAGCTGTCAAGACCGCCTTGTCCATACGCGTAATGGGTGCGTTTTGCCATGGCCAATTAGCCTCGTCAAAGAGGAAGGAAGAAGAGGCCACTGCCTGGCATAGAATTATACAGTCGAAAATTTGCTTCTAGGCCGGGCACGGTGGCTCATGCCTGTAATCCTAGCACTCTGGGAAGCCGAGGTGGGAGGATAGTTTGAGCTCAGGAGTTCGAGACCAGCCTGAGCAAGAGTGAGACCCCATCTGTACTAAAAAACAGAAAAAATGAGCCGGGCATGGTGGTGCATGCCTGTAGTCCCAGCTACTCTACTCAGGAGGCTGAGGCAGGAGGATCGCCTGAGCCCAGAAGTTTGAGGTTGCTGTGAGCTAGGCTGATGCCACGGCACTCACTCTAGCCCGGGCAACAGAGTAAGACTCTGTCTCAAAAAAAACCCCCAAAAAACAAAACAAAAATTTGCTTCTAGTTGTTGTCTTTCTTAAATGCAAACAACATTGTACAAGTGCACCGCGAAACTTCACTTTGCTATAAAGATTTCCGTGTTTTTATTAAAATCCCAATATTTCAGCCAGAAATTCAAGGCTGTCCAAGCTCTTGCTCCAGCCTTTCTTCCCGGCTTCTCTTCGATTGTCCTAAGCCCGGGAAAATGCCCCATGTTCTTCCGTTTCCATTCTCAGAGTTTGCATTGCCTCATCAATCCAAAAGCCCCCGTCTTTCAAGACCAGCGAAATCATCTCTCTGGGAAGTTATCTCTGAATTCCCACGGCTCTCCATATTTCTGGCTCTTATAATCGGTATCTGCCTTGCACTGCAATTGTTTCGGCTCTTGTCTGAGCTGGTCTCCATGCCCACTATATCCAGATTTAAACTCAGTTAACATAAAATACCCGTATAATCCGGGGCCACTGGTTTTGCTGGTATCATTTACTTGTTTGGATATTGAATTCTCCGGACACTCAAGGTTCAATTGCCCAAGAGGTTGCAGGAGCTAAGAGTTGCCTCAGCTCACTTGGCAGCACGCAGAGCCGGAGTTTGCACCCAGATCTGAGTCTCTGCCCTTCGGCGGTGGCAAACACCGGGTCTTCCCACGCTGGCCTCGCCCATCTGCCACCAGGATGTCTTCTCCCTCCGAACCAAGGTGCGTTGGAAGTCTCGCCCACCCAAGTCAACTGGGTCAGCCCAAGGAGAGGCTTATACGTCACGCTTAAGTTATTACCACGTTCCATTTCCTTTCTTTTTTTTTTTTTTTTTGAGACAGAGTCTCACTTTGTGGCCCGGGCTAGAGTGAGTGCCGTGGCGTCAGCCTAGCTCACAGCAACCTCAAACTCCTGGCTCAAGCGATTCCTCCTGCCTCAGCCTCCGAGTAGCTGGACTACAGGCATGCGCCCACCATGCGGCTCATTTTTTCTGTATATTAGTTGGCCAATTAATTTCTTTTCTACTTGATAGTAGAGATGGGGTCTTGCTCTTGCTCAGGCTGGTCTCGAACTCCTGACCTCGAGCGATCCTGCCCGCCTCGGCCTCCTAGCGTGCTAGGATGACAGGCGTGAGTCACCTTGCCCGGCCTTCATTTTCTTAAAGTACAGGTGTTTTTCATCTCACACGTCCCTGAAGCTGCTAGCACAGCGCTTCACGAGTAGTTAATTAATAGTTTTTCAATAAATAATTAGACATTCCATCAGCACTGGGAGTGAGGAAGAGCCGTCGGGGAGAGGGGGGTCGGGGAAAGACAACAGGAAGTAGAAGATGCCTTTTACCCAGAGTGGGAGGTAGGAGGGTAGCTTCACTTCACCCTGGGGAGGGAGGGCTTTGGGGAGAAGGAAAAGGGGAACTGGAATGTTCCCTGGGGCAGCCTTACCCACACAGCTGCTCTGCGGGAAGGAGGAGGAGAGAAAGAGGAGGGCTTGGGCAGAGGGGGCAGGGCAGACAGGAAGGGGAAGTGGGGAGAGGAGCTGAGGCTGCCAAGAAGTCCCTGGGCTGCGGAAGGGGCAGAAGCTGAAGGCTGAGGAAGACCATGCTACCCCCCCCCAGCCTGGACCTTGGAGGCCAGCAGAGCCAGCACCTGGGGGGTGGGGGGTCACCCCACCCCAGGAGAGAGCTTGATGCCGGCTGGACAGCCTTCAGGGGCTCTTTAGGAGGGAAAGAGTGCTGGTCTTCTAGGGCCGCCATGACAAAGCCCTCCAGACAGACTGGCTTCCACCGCAGAAGTGGAGTCTCTCACAGTTGTGGGGGCTGGAAGTGTGAGGCCAAGGTGTGGGCAGGGTTGAAGCCCCTTTCTGAGGCTCGTGAGGGTCTATTCCATGCCTTTCTTACAGCTTCTGGCGGTTTGCTGGCAGTCCTTAGCATTCCCTGGGCTTCTAGAACTATGCCTTCATCTTCACGTAGAGCTCCCCTTGTGCGTGTCTGAGTCCACATGCCCCCTCTTATTAGGACACCAGTCACACTGGTGTAGGGACCCACCCTGTTGCTGTGTAACCCCATCTCGTCAGGGGTGGTTTCCGACGGGTGTCGTCCTGGTTCTTTGGCTCCTTGCTCGGAAGAACCGCAAGCAGGGCCAGTGCGACAGAGTGACGACAGACGCCTAACGCTTCCACACAAGCGGATTTTGTTGCAAAGCACGAGTATGTTGCAGAGAGAGGAACATTCCCGTCCCCACGAGTGGAGATGACCCTGAGTTTAAAGGCCGAGTGTAGGAAGTATAGAACATTCTAGAAGTCAGTAGACAGGGGACTGCTCCAATAAGGAGCAGTGTCCTTCCAGGGTTAGAGTCTGTCCTTTATGTTAATCCCTACTGACATGTTAAGCTGAGGATGATGGAATAGTCATATCTTTTTGGGAAAGTAGGTGGAGAGTCCCAGAATCCTGTACCCGGCCCTATTTTCTGTCCTTGTATGGCCAGCTCCTGAACTGCCATGGCTCCAGGGAGAGTGAGTGTTACTATGTTAATGAGGGAAAGGTTACCTTTGGTCATGAGCTCCTAGCTTCTGCGCATGCTCCCAGTCGGGAAAAGTCTGTAACTTCAAGTTGCGCTGGTGGTGGTTGCTTTTCTCTGTTTTTATTGATCCCGACCTTCCACCCTTGACTACATCCCCTTATCACCTGCCTTGCCACCTGCCTGCCCTCATCTCTACCTAACAATCTTAACTAACTGCATCTGCAAAGACCTCATTTCCAATAAGGTCACATGCTGATGTACCGGGGGTTATGGATATGATTTCAACACAGAAATTTGAGAGGGACGCAATCAACCCATAACAGAAAAATCTCAAAAAGCTTGATTGTAGCCAGGGACTTGGTCCTCAATAGAGTAATGAGACCGCATCTCTAAAAACTCTTGAATGATCTCCAAAATACCTATTTCAGAGCACTCTCTCTCTCTCCTTCTGTTATCTAGAGCAGTGTTTAGAACAGTAGCACCAATACTTGCTGAACAAATGAGGCTTTATGCAATCTGGTAC